GGGAGCCCCGGGACCGGCGAGAGCCGCGGGCGCCTTTCTGCGAGCTTCTGTCTGTGAAAGAGTTAATAAAAGGGATTGAAAGTGGAGCCGGGTCTGTGCTCGATGGGGGCCGGGGGGTGAGGTCGTGCCCGCTGCCCCCGGGCTCTGCCCGGTACAGCCCCCGGTACAGCCCCCGGTACAGCCTGGCACGGCCGAGGGGACCCGGAGGAGGTGGGAGACGGCGCGGGGACACATTGCCGCAGCTACAGGCAAAGCACGCACGCACTATAAATATATATATATATATGTTTCTACCCCTACGCTGTGCACGCATACAGTACATGTGTTCTATTTCTGTATTTATATATATGCATATTACATAGAATTCACACACATACTATATATAGAGAGATACACGCACACTATATATACACATCTATGCTGTATACGCTCATTTTACATATACACACGCACTATATATGTGCACAAATAATTGTGATGTGCACTCACTATGCACACACTTTTTGTATGGACTCAGTCTATAGAAGCAATATAAATATACGTAAATACAGCACATGTACGAAAATATAATAAACCAAATATATTACATACGCTGTCGACACACTCTCTATAAACTCACTGTATACAAAAATGCAAACAATATTTTCCCCCAGCACATGCACACTCTCTACACACATGCCAATGCTCATACACTATATGCGTACATATGCAGTAAGAATATGTACAATATATACAATTTAAGCTCTGTGTATCTATGCACACGCAATGTGTATGCTCAATATACGTAAAAATACACGCTAAATACCTACACTACCCATGTATACACGTTCTTTCTTCGTGCACACACACCCCCAACGCTTATCTCCTATACACACCCCATACGTACGTACATACATGACTATATTCCCGGCACCGTGCCACCCCGCAGAGCCGTGCTGGGGGCAGGACAGGGCTGCTTGGGCAGGGGTTACTGTCACCCCGGTCCCCAAGCGCTCCCAGTCCTGAGAGCTGGGATGCTAAGAAGGTGCCCGGTGGACTTATGCCCCCTCCCCAGCCTGTCCCGCTGGTGATTTAAGCCCACAATTACATGGCGAAGATTTAACGCTGCCTTTGATTGCTTTTCTTATCTGGAGCTCTGAAGCCACATGCCCTCCTAGTGTCCCTGCCTGAAAGGCAGCATCCCGCAGTCATGTGGGGACGGTCACCCACTTACCAGCATCCATGGGTGGCCCCTGAGGCCCCACTGAAACCCCTCACCCTCCCCAAATGCAGCCTCCGCATCCCAGCAGAACCCTCCCAAGCAAACACTCGTTTCTCCATCCTCCAGAGGACGGCTTTCTATTTTAAGTCTGGCCTCTGCATCTTTCTCCTGTGGCAGGGAGCGTGGGGGAGACAGACAAAGCAGGTCAGCAAGCAAAGAGACGGCGGGCAGGGGGCTGCCCACCCAAATCCCCTAAATCCTGGGAATTTGAGGCTGCTCTGCAGCAGCGCAGGTGTTTGCTCCAGCTTTTAAAACCCCGTGCCAAGCAGGGACTCCCCCTTGTAGACAAATCCCCTTCAGCGGATACACTTATAATTGAGTTTCATGCTTAGAAACATAGAAGGAATAGAAAAAGAACAATCATTTCTGCCTCCGTTTAATTAGAGAGTAATAGATTTCCCCGCCTAACGTATCTACAGGGAATCTCATCGTGATGAGCTACCTACCGACGCTGGATTATGCTGAGATTTGCTCCTTTTCAGGAGGGCACTAATTAGCACCCGGTGCCCAAAGGCACAAGAGGAGCTCAGGAATGGAGCTCTGCACCCTCCCACCCCCTCCGTGTCCGGGGGGCTGGAAAGGGCTTCTCCTGGAAAGGGTTAAAGCATCCCGGTAGGATGGCTCAGCCCCTCCTAAGGCATTAACCCTTCTGCAGAGCCTGCCACCAGCCCGGGGGGGAGGTGAGTGGGACGTGCCCACGCGTGATGGTGACAAGCTCGTGCCCACGCAGCCCGGGCTGTCACATGCTCATGCTGTCACCTAAGCTGTTGGAAGGCGTCTGGCACCCTTTGCCCAGGACAGCCCCAGACTAAAGAAGCTTTCCCCCCCTCCCCGCCCCATCCCCAAATTATCTCTTATCCCACATCAAAAAAATCAAGGGAAAAGAGTATCGCGGTGGCCCCTGCGCTACCATCACCGGCAGCACTACAGCCCTCACCTGCTGAAGGGGTTGTGCCTCGGCGGCATCACAGGTGGAGTCTGGGGTCCCAGTAAAAGTGATCAGAGCAGCATCTTTCATCTGCTCCGTGAGTGCGAGTGGGCAGAATTAGGCTCTGCAGTCACCCCTGCTCTGTGTTCTCCACTGAGTCAGAGCTACCAAACCCTTCCCGATGGGCTCTTAAGATGTTCGAGTCCTGCTTCGCAGCATGGGGGGGCTGAGGAACCATCCGCCTCCAGCCAGACGTCAGCCTGCTCTGCTCCGGGGTGAGGGCCACCACTGATATCAACCCACGGGGGGGTCAGAAAGCAACCCCCATGCTGGCCCTGTCCGTGAGAGCATCACACCCAAGAGGGGCAGTGAGAGCCCCCGCAAACACCTTGCAAAGCAGGTCCTGACCCTCCCCTGGAGAAAATCCCTGGCTCACCCAGCACATCCTGCAGCAGCCACGCTGCAAGCCCACCCGATGAACTGCTCTAGAATCAAAATAATCCCCTTCTCCCTTGCATGGCACTATTTTTAACCCCAAGCCTGTTCACAGCCTGGCCTCAGTGACGGCTGCGTCAGCACAAGTGTGAAGACAGGGAGCTTGTGGTCGGGATAGATGGAGCTGAAGTTCTCCCGGGGGGACTCCAGCTCCCCCCCTGCTCCACCTTCCTCTTCCTCAGGGCCTTTTCCAAAGAGGGTCTGGCTTGCTCCGGGCTGAAGGTCCTCACACCTCTGCAGACACCTCGGTGCTTCCACACTGAGGGCGATTCGCATCGTGTTGCTCCAACCCCAGCCCCGCAGCAGGCAGGTTTCCTCCCAGAGATGCTCCAGTTTGGCCAGTGGATGAGTAGGGGAGGGCAGGGAGCAAGAAGCCGCTCAGCATCCCGGTCCTGGATGCCCACCTCTACCCGAGTGGTCCTGCCAGGCTGGAGGATGTCGGCTGCAGGACGAATGCCCCACGATCTACTTTTAAAAGCTTTTATCAGCAGTTTATCACAGGGTAGAGGAGGTGGCTCTAGGGGGGGAAGCGGGCGCGGTTGGGCTCCGGCAGCAGCTCCGGGGGGGGGGAGGCGGGCGGGAGGTTTTCCGACAGCGGGAATGGGTCGGTGCCATGGAAAACAAAAGGGCCCCCGGGGGACGGGGAGGGGAGGAGAAGCCCGACGAGGGCCGGGGGAACCGGCCATCCCGTTTATCCCCTATTCCAGAGAAGCGAAGGCGACCGGGCTCCATCCACCTCGAAGCTGCCGGTGAAGTGGCTAAGGGGGGACCGGGGAGGGGAATGGGGGGGGACACACTCAACGGGGAGAGCCGTGGCCGTGGGGAGAGCGGGCTGGCCGGCCCGGGAGAGGGAGGGAAGAAGGGAGGGCTGGGTGGTTATTCACGGCTCTGGTATGCGACGTGCCGGCCCTGCTCCCACCGCCCCCGGGCTGCCTCGGCCCGCCCCGGCCGCGGGGGAGGGGGGGGGGGGGGGGAAAGGCGGGG